GCTGAAAGAAGACTTTATGTCAACACACTGCCTGGTACATGGCCAATGCAGCACCAGAAAATATCATTACCTCCACCGTAGTAACAAAACGCATTATTTATTCCCGCCTGAACCCAGCACGTTACAAGACTCCAGATCCAGGATAGACATATATATTTGTACTTTCAAATCTTATCAGTTGTATTATGAATAACTAACACTCAGTTACACTTACCGTGCAATCTGCTAACTTTAAAACTTAGAAGATATGCGCCTACATGAAATATTTCTTCTACATAAACAAACAACGCCAACACAGCCGCCATAATAAATCTAGACTGTTTGTAAGCTCTCAATAGAGATGTCAGTGCGAACAGAACGCGCTCAATTCAAATCTTTTTTTAGCCTTTATCTACTTTCACCCACAGGTGTCCAGGTACACATTCATTCATTTAATCCTACTAGACATTTGGTAGGACTCCTTGGACGAATGATCAGCCCGTCACAAGGCCTCTACCTACACAGGACAGCACAACACAGAAAGACGCAGACAAACATCCATGCCTTGAGTGGGATTCGAACCCATGGTCCTAGTGCCCAAGCGCACAAGGTCTAAGCCTCAGACTGCGTGGCCTCTGCGGAATTCAAATCATTTGAAAGATAATTACGGTGGCGGCATTGCCTCAGGCGGCGTGATATTTTATGGAATGTACTGAGAGGGTCTTTCTAAAATACTGATGAGACAACAACAGTATGTTATGCACCTTATTACTAAATGTTATACTGCGATGTTGCTATGTACTCAGTGTTAAGCATATGACATCTGTTACACACAAGTTGTTCTGCTTGGGATGTACATCACAATTTTTGCTGACTAAAGATTTAATGAATCAAACTGTCTAGAAACAGCGTCAATAATCTCAAACTGAGTGGACCATCCCACTGTAGTTGACCTTAGCCACAGTTTAGAACTAAAACATGTACATATAGCCTATTTTTATGTGATAACAGATAAGGTTAAAAGAACTCACGTCAAAAATAGATTTTCTGAGTTCCATGTTTCCCCCCACCTAAGCAAATTCTTGGATCCTTCTGCAACATTCTTCTCATAACATCAACTTCAATGTCCGAGAACAAAGACAGGATGTCTGGTATGTGACTCAATGTTTTGCTGCGAGAGAAAGGTTCATTCTTGTATTTGCCATAAAAAAAGTACTCGATAAACTTGCATTCACAATTAATATTTATAACGCCTTTCAAAGTTGCCATAAGTGGTGTGGTCAATGTCTGATTTGCATGCAAATCTCTGAGATAGGTCATGCAAGAGATAAGGAGGATGGTCAATGTTAAACATTTTATGCTTTCAGCTTTTGGAGCCCTTCCTTCTCTGTGCCTTACATTCAGTTGCTGTCCAGCACAAACTTCCTTCGTTAAAGATTGTGGCCATCGTTGA